TGGGATAGGGAGGGGGGGAGGGAGACGCAAGAGGGAGGGGATATGGGGATATATGTATACATATAGCTGATTCACTTTGTTATACAGCAGAAACTAACACATTGTAAAGCAATTATATTCCAATAAAGATGTTAAAAAAAAAGTGTGTCTTAGAGCCAATAATTCTATCCTGAGAAAACCAAGATACACACAAAAGTAACATAATAATGTTATTTATAGGGGTGCAAGATTAGAAATAATGTGTCAAACAACAGAATTAACACATTCATACAAAGGAAAATAACCAGTTTTGTAAAAAATTAAATACTTAGAAAAGTATTTCATGTCAGGAAGAAATTTCATAATATATTAGGTAGAAAAAAAATCCAGTTATAAAACTGCAAACACGTGAATAAATTTTTTTTAAATAGAAGAACATATATCAAAATGTTAACACATGATTCTCCGTGCATATGAAATATCAGTGATTTCTGTCTTCTTGGCATTTTTCAAAATTTCTGCCATGAACACTTCATTCCTTTTAATAATATTAAAATGGTTTTAAAAATATAAGAAAATGCTGACTATTAAGTTAGCATTGGGTAGCTGTAAGATTGAAATGATAATGAATTTGCAAGTGCTTGAAAACAAAAAAACTACCAAAAGCAAGATGCTATATTATTTTATGGTTTACCAACAGGAAACAGATTTAATATAGATTTATTCATGTATATCTTCTCTATGATATTTAGACTCTAAAACAGAAGGAAAATGGGACGACTTGGGAGCATATTGATTCTAGTTGCCACCATCCTTAGAGTTGCACTGGCAAATAAATGGTGACCTATTTTTTTCCTTTCCATATTCTAAACAAGGGCAGACTCCTCAAAAGAAGCCCGAAGTCCTTTAATTTAACTCTTTGCTCGATAAAGGATTAAAGCATACTGCTCTCTTTACTGCTACCAAACTGGGTATCCAACTAGTATTTCCTCATGCCCACTATACAGAGAAAGCCATTCATGAAAGTCTTTGGGAAACAAGACTAAGACTATTTCAAAGCATATAAAGTAAATGAAATAAGTACGTAGATAAATAAACACTCTACTTGAAACTATCATTTTATACAATTAGAAATATGAAAAGGAAAAGAAAGTAGATAACTTGGGACAAAGTTCAAAGGACAAAAGGAATCACATATGCCTTTATGAGTTGAGAATTAGGAAAAGTGAATAGTTGCATAATCAGTAGCACCTTTCAAATAATGCTCAAATAGATAACAGCAATCGAATTCTCCAAAACAGGATTTACCTTGGAGAAAGAAACCCTATTAATATGCTGGATGTAATATGAAAAAATAGTTTTAAAGGAAAAGGATCACCAATGCCTTTGCCATGAAAAGTGATTTTTCAGGTATGCAACATAGTAAATTTATACAATTAGTATAACTGGTCAAGGTAAGTGTCTCCTAATAAATAATCTCCTAATAAAATACTAGCTTCAGAGGCTGAAACGATATGTCACTTTGAAATGACTACAATACAACATGCTAAGAACTATCAGCAAGCAAACCAGACTGGTAAGGCCCCACCCTGTTCCAGTTATTTCCACTGGCAAGGCTAGTCGGCTCCTACAGTCCTTTAGGGGAGCCATTCAAATGCTACCTCTTCTTCCAGAACAATCGCAGAAGGATACTGAGAAAGTAAAGTGACCAATCCTCCTGTAGCACATTTCTCACATGTTCTCTAGTCTTTAGAAACAGAGACAACTCCCCCAGTGACTACGATCTAAAATTTGGTAGGCTAGTTTCAAACTTCTAACTGGCACTCCCCTTATATAGTGTCAAGCCTGCACTGTCTTAGGAAATAGTGTTATTGAAAATATATACTGTATACGAGATGCTTTAATCAAAAGTAGGTTTTAAATTAGCAACCAAAAATTCTAAAAATAAGAGAGGCTGACAGGATTATATTTTTTCCATCATTATTTGCTTCAAGTTTTACATGACTGTTTTCCTCCAATTTGGGATTATTTAATGAAATCAAGAAGTAAGTCAGCCAGGTCTTACCTAACACTATTACGTAACACTCAACATCAAAAAACAGAAAGTATACAAAAGTAAATGCTAACTGAAAACATTATAAAGCAAATTCTAGAAACGATCTGCCAAATACCATCTTTATTTTCTCTCTGTAATTAATTGCTTACCTAGTTTTATTAAGAATTCTCGTTCCAAGTCGTGTACCTGCCTGATGGATTCTTCCAGAGAATTACAGAGTTTGATCTTTGGTCTTAGCAGTTCTAGTGTGTCACTGATCATGTAATCTATGTCAATAGGAAATGGATGGTCTTTTGTCCAAACCTCCAAACTTTTCTTCCACCAAACATAACGCTGATAACAAATGAAAAATAAATTTAGCTATAAGAAATTAATAACAAAATATTTAAAATACTCTGTATCGTGACATCACCTAGTTATAACAACTAAAGAGTTGTACAAGGCACCTACCATTTTTATTAATGGTCAACAGCAATGATCCTAGCACATTTATTTCCCTCCATGTATATAGTTCCTAAGCCATCTGGTGACTTTAATTTAAATATATTTTTTATTGTAACTGTCATAATCTTTTTTTAAAGGCAAGGAAAAATTATAAATAAATAAAACGGCAAATAAATTTTCAGGCACTGAAACCAGGCAGAAACGCCACTCCCAAATCCCAAATAGGGCTTAAATATTTAATTTTACAAAAACAACCAAATTCAAGGCAATGGTTTTGATAAATTATAATTATTTTCTCTATACTACCTGCTTTGATTTTTTTAGAGTCAAAGTATCTGAAGATAGGGTTTTTGAATATATAAAAATCAGTAATCAACAAGCATTTATTGAACATCTACTGTGTATATGGCACCATTTAGATATTTTCCCTCATCTCCTAGCTTGGCTCCTTCATTCTATTTTGTACTTGTAATTCTCAAGTTTAACTAAAAAGCACAACCCATGAATTTACTTGTATATAAACAGGTGTTCCTCTGGGTGTTTAATCTTCCTGTCCAGTTTCTTCTAGGTTTTTGCTACTCAAAGTGTGGGAACTCAGAGCTTATTAGACATACAGAATCTGAGACGTCCCCTACCCTAGGCCAACTGAATCACAGTGTGCATCTTAACAATATAGCCAGGTGATGTGTGTACACACTGAAGTTTAGAGGCACCGCTGCAGGTGAGCCTTTCTATCTGCCTTCCAATATGTAACTGGACACTGTGTTACAGGCAGCACACACTGACTGCATCTCCCAGGCCTCACTCACTTCTTACTCCTGCGCCCTAAGTATATCCCTGCTACACATTCCTGCTATTAATCAATGTGGAAAATACTTTTGTCTCTTTCTACTCCTGAATATTTCTGAGTGGCTCTTTTCTCTCTGCCAGTGATGTTAGAGTGAGTGCAAATAAGAACACTCTTCTGAGAGGGATCCTGCTTTGGATGCTGATAGTGATAACTGATATTCTGCAGCAAAACTTTGGTTTTAAATACAGGCAGTCTCCAACTTAAGGCATTTCTTACATGGAACAGAGAATCTGAGTCTCAAATCTTCAACACACCTTCCCCATTTTTGGCTCATCAATTCAGAAAACAAGAGAGTAACAAGTTACCCTCTAATGCAAAGATAAAGTAATAGGAGAAAGTTACAAACAGCTCTTTCCCAAGAGTAGTTACCCCCACTTAACATCAGCTACTATGTGGATGTATTTTTGACACCTCAAAGTTGTAGTTTTAAATTTACTTTCTTTGTCAATGGGTAAACAAAAACAACATAACAGATTAGATAGAAAGGAATGATCAAATAGAACTGAATGGTACCATTGGTACTTTATTTCAGTAACATCTGGAGAATTCGATAGTGAGCTATTCCCCCTAATCAGTACTTATAACATTGTATTTGATGGGAAATAATGATTAGGTTCCAGACAACCAAACTACAACTAACTTTTGGAACAGGAACTGTATAGAAGCTGTAGAACTTTCTCTGTATTTGTATCTGTATTTAATTTATACTGTACTTGCTCTAAATCATCAGTTTACATAAGTAACTTAAGATATGGAAAGCACAACCCAAGAGTTTAGCAATGAATGAACAAATATTTCTTTCAATGTTAATGATGGGTTTTTTTTTTAATTTAGAAACAAGAATTTTAGATATAAAACCAGAACACAGATGAGTGAGAATATTATCAAATGCATAAATATTACAAGTAATTTGATTCATGAATTACATACCAAATACAAAATAATCCATACTATACCAAATTTATAAACTTATTAAACTTACTAAACCAAACTTATTAAACTTACTAAACCAAATTTATAAGAGCACCAAAATAATTCCCAAAATTAATGATCAATCATCAATTATAAAACTTAAAATGTAATCAGAATGTTTATGATAGAATTCATCATACATATATTTTTTTAATTTTTCTTTCTTTTTTTTGGCCATGCCGTGTGGCATGCAGGATCTTAGTTCCCTGACCAGGGATCGAACCTGTGCCCCCTGCAGGAAGCACAGAGTCTTAACCACTGGACCGCCAGGGAAGTCCCCATCATATTATTTTAAAACGCCTAAAGCTAAGCATACTTGCAAGAAGAATAAATCTCACCTAACTATGAATATATCTTATACATAATATATGAATGCTACAGGGTTTCTTCTCTAATATTTTTGTAACACAAGCAATGCATTAAATGATGCCAACTGCTTATTTCAATTTATATACCTGAAAATACACAAGGAAGCAATCGAGTTTTCGTTTACTAGAACCTCTGTCAAAGTACTGGCCACAGGTATCCAAAATAGTGCACACTAGTCTAATCCTGAAAAGGTGCTCGGGAGGGTCCAGTGAACTTGGAGAGCCATCAGGGTTAACACCAAATGAAGTAAAAGAATAAAGAGTTCTAAAAATAACAGCAGATTCCACCATTCGGTAATTATAAAGTTCCCCTAAGAACTTGGCACTGCTGATACGTCTCTGATTAAATTTAGGTTGATTAACCTAAAGGGGGAAGAAAAAAAAAAGCAGATTTCCATTAAAGAATAGCAATGTGTTTGAGAAGAGGTAAAATTCCCCTATGTCACTTGACAACATCACTCACTGAACAGAGAATAAATAATGGGTTCTTTTCTAATAGGTAGTCACTTCTGGGTGTCTTTTTTCTCTAAGAAATGTCTACCTTTAAAATGTTTTAATAAAAAGAACATGTTAAGTATTAAATTTAATATTACGCTATTGTTAAATGAATTAATAGTTTATGAAACAGTTAAAATGTAATTCTCCCTATCAGCCCTCTGTAACCTATTTTCTCTGAAATCCATGAATTAAGGAAACAAGCATATAGAAAGAGGGAAATTCTTACAGAAATTCTTATCAAATGATTACCAATTCTCCTAATTAATAAATTTATGAATTCCTATAACGTGAATGCCGATAGTAACCAGGAAATAATAAAAATTTACTATACTCTTCTAAAATAAGCTTAACTGGACTTGAAGAAAAGGCAAAAAATACTTCAGCATTAGCCTGAGAGACTAGGAAATCTGACACAACAGGGTTTATTAAGAAATCATTATCTTCAAAAAAGTAATAGTAAATGACACCATATGGGGAAAAGAGGGTTTTCAAATCCTTATTTTTCAATAATAGGACTTAAAGGCTGTCTAAATTGTCCACAGATTCCAATTTGCTGCAGGTCTTTGTTACCTCCATTCCTAATCGAATATCTTCTAAAACTCCATCCACAACATGGATTCCAACATCCTCCTGGTAGAGCACTAGTCCTGCCAAGAGGTTGGCTACACAATGAATGCTGTTATATTTCACATTCCAGATGTTTATCATACAACAAATCACATAGTCTTTCACTTCTTGGTCCTGCCAAGGCAACTTTCGCATCTGTCTCAAAACCTAAATGAAGAGAATTTTGTTTAAATTACTAAGATAAGCACTAAGTAGTCCAAAATACCCTATAATACAAATATTTTATTATGATTGTACAGTCACAGAACTTTTGAAATGGAAAATACTTTAGAGATTCTCTACCAGCCTCTTCACTTTAGAGACAGGAAAAATAAGATTTTTCTAATTATTGGTAAAATTTATTCACATTTTCCCTTTATCTTTCCATAACGCCCTTAAATTTCCTAGAGTTTCCAGGACTTCAATCAAGCTAACAGTATACACTCATACTCAGGTCACTGAAAGAAATACCCAAGATTGAACAAAAATAATGTTTTCTTTTGTGCATCATTTGATGTAAATAACCTCAGACACTTCTTTTTATAAATGAAAAATTTCCAATAAGGAAATAAACCCAAGGTCAACTGGTTAAAAGATCCCTTAAGATGGAGGACACAGGACTTCCCTGGTGGTCCAGTGGTTAAGACTTTGCCTTCCAGTGCATGGGGTACAGGTTCGATCACTGGACAGGAAGCTAAGATCCCACAAGCCTCGAGGCCAAAAAACCAAAACATAAAACAGAAGCAATATTGTAACAAATTCAATAAAGACTTAAAAAAAAATGGTCCACATCAAAAAAATCTTAAAAAAAAAAAGATGGAGGACACAACATCAAGACTGACATCACACAGTTTCCTTGCATGTAAAGGGGGGATGATAGGCACTTACTCCATAAGTCTGGTCTAAGGGTTAGACAAGTTAAAGTGCGTGAAGTGCGTAGGAATGTGTCTGGCGCATTACAAGCACCCCATAAAAGTTAGCTATCACTTTCAAAATCTCTACTGGTAATGAGATAATCAGCAGAGCTCTAGTCATCATCAAGTTCTTTCCATTTTTATTCTGAAAGAAAATGGATACTGTAGGCAGAATGTAAAGTAGTCCTTTCATCTCTACTCTATACCCACAATCCACCTTTCAAGCACTAAATATGTTCTCATATCAGCTTCAATGGAAATGTTAATGTCATCTCAAATGTATAAGCATTCCATACTTTTCAAACTTTTAGCCAATTCTAAAACAGCTTTCAAATCCTGTTGTCTTAAACAACTACTGTCTCTGGATCCCTGAAGGTGGCTTCAATTTTCAAAGTTGTGCTCATTCGTCATCACCTTCTACCCTGCCCACCCACGACACATGTATTATTCCATGCCTCTTATCCTCCCCATAGGTTTCCTCTGTCCAGAAGTTAATTTGTTTCAATTTTTTTCCTGAAAAGAAAAAAGTTCCATACCATGTTGTTTCAACTTATAGAGTTGACCAAAAAATGTTTACTCAACATGTCTCACTTAAAAGTGAAGATTCTAACAAGGTAACTACAATAATTAAGGTAACAGGTCGGTGGTTCTTAACCTTTTCTGGAAATTGACCCCTGCTGAGAATCTAAAGAAAGCTACAGACCCTCTTCCGGAAAAATACAGACAGGCCCAGAGATTCAATATCATTAAGTTCCAGAGGATCATGGGCCTCTTAAAGCCTACTTAAGGTTAAGAACCCCTGTACTGAAAGCAAAATATTTAAAGGCAAATTCATTACAGAACATCAGAGACAAAGTAATAGTTTCAAATATACACACAGCATCAACATCAAATTTAGAAGAATTACCATTTTAATTAGAATAAGAAGTTACTATCATAAAAGAAAAATAAAACATATGTCCCATATATTATGTATCATCGTATGAATTCCTTCTTATGATGACTTGTATGGAATCAATCATAATGGAACCTGGGATTTAATCCTACCTCTCCTAAACTCCACTGCTGGGACTTTAACAATTCTGCTTCAATTTCTCCATTTACAAAATGTGAATAATGCAAACTACTTACATTTCCTAGCTGTACTTTGTGGGGCACTGAAGCAATTGATAAACAAGCTGATCTAGGAAAACTGAAATATATGTCCCTAACCTAAAACAATTTGGTGCAGGGCTAGAAGGAAAGTGCACTGCAATCAGTACTATTATCATGAGGACAAAAAAGAATTAATTTGGTTGAATGTTATATAAGCTTAGCACTACCACAAATCTCAAGTTGACTACTGTTCTATGATTTCATTAAGATTTACCTTCTCAGTGGTAACCTTGGAGAGATCCTTGTACAAAAGTTTCCGGACATATTCCTGGAGAGGAGGACGTTTCTTTTTCACTGTTTTTTCAGCTGGAGGTGGGTTGCAGTAGTAATATGCATTCTCCACCATTGTGACATATCTTGCATCGAGATGCATCGCTTGTTTCTTTCTCATCATTTGTTCCTAAAATAAAAAGTCTAGTCAAAATACTTTCATTCTAAGGTTTCTTTCCTCCTAACTAAAGTTCTACTCTCAGTGATAAGATTTCAAGGTAAAGGGCTAGAAAAGGGAAAAAACAGTTACTAGGTATTTCTAAGAGCATGCAAGCATAATAATTGTTATATCACTAATCATGTTTTTAGAACAAATTAGTCCATAACTGCTTGCTCTTATGCCTTGTCCAATAAAATACTCAGAGAACTCTGCTACAAATATAACTTGACTTATAACTCCGCCAAACTATATGAACTCTACGTAAAACAAGGCTTATATACGAGTGACTGAAATTAAGGACCAACAATATAAATAAAGGGGTGAATGCCTCTGGCTGTTCCACACACAACAGCTGAGAATAACCTTATTCTGAGAGCTTGTGCCATCCAATGTTGTACCAGGTAAATCTGACATGTCTCTACAGACAAGGAAACTAAAAGCCCCCAGTTTCACAACTTGTCCAGAGCCCTCAGCATCAGCTCCAGGAGGTGATTAAAAGCAGTCAATCATCATCTACTTCAGGATCCTCAACCTCAGCACTACAGATGTTTTGGACTGGATAGTTCTTTGCCAGGGTGTGTGGGGGGAGGGTGTTCTGTGCACTGTAGGATGTTTTGCAGCAACCTTCACCTCTACCCACCAGATGCCAGTTGAGAACCACAGACTGATCAGCTGAAGATCTTCAAACAGTACTCCTAGTTCTAAAAACAGCACCACACTAAGTATTAAGATTACTGAATTTATTCAGCCATTTAACATTTTACTTGGCACTTACTATTTGCCAGGCACTACGCTAGGTACTGGAAGTCACCAGTGAACAAGACGGACATGGCTCCTACCTTCATGAAGCCTAAGAATCTGGCGTAGGAAGACAGAATAAACAAGCCAACAAATAAACTAACAACCTTTTAAATACTAATTGTGAATAGTGTTATGAAGGAAAATAACAAGGCCCTAAGATGGAGAGTAATGAGAGTCCACTTTAGTCAGGGTGGGCTAGGGACGGCCTCTCTGCAAAAGTGACATTTGAGTTGTGCTCTGAAGGACGACAAAAGGTTGAGAAGAGACACAGAGAGAGCACCTGAGGCAGACGCAACAGCAAGACGAAAGGCGATGAGGAGAGAAGGATCTGTTACAGGAACTACATGAAGGCCAGTGTGGCGCCAGCATGGAATGGCGTGAGATCAGTTCTAAGGAGCGAGGAGAGGCTTGGTGAGACCAGATTCTGCAGACCATAGTAACAATGCTGGATTTGAAACCTGTAGAGGGAAAGCACTGAAGAGCTTCAAGCAGGTGTCTGGAGTGGGGTGGCAGGTGGTGGCGGGTGGAGGCAAGACTTCAAGCTTTGGAAAGAAGGCTGTGTCTGCAAGCTCAGGGAGGGCAGGGGCTGCAGCATGTTCACTGATGTAAACCCAGCATCTAAAACAGTGCCTGGCCTAGCACATGGGAGGCTTGCAATTAATGTCTACTAATATACAAAGTAATGAATGAATTTTTTAAAACACATTCAAATCTTTTCCATGGTCTGCCTTTCTATACACGTAAAACCATCGTATACTGGGGGAAATTCTGCTCTTTCATAAGTTCAATTATGGGTATACCAAGTATCACAATTGTTTCTCTTGTCTATGAATCTGCTAAAGTATACAGGTTGTAGCCTAGCTCCTCTCCTGACATCTATTTTATAATTTGTGAATGCTTATTAAATGTTGACTCTTCCAGACAGAGAAAACAGTTCCATGTTTAACAGGGCTAGAGATAATGACCTCACCCTGTAAGTTCTTTGAACAAAATATAATGCAACACTTAATTTTTCATTTGTACATACATAACAGTTTTAAATCAAGACTAGTTTCAACCTGTTATGTAGACCACTTTAGAACCTTCTCCCCCAACACACATACCAAACTACTTTCTTTTTTCTTTTTTGATGTGGACCAATTTTAAAGTCTTTATTGAATTTGTTACAATGTTGCTTCTGTTTTATGTTCTGGTTGTTTTTGGCCTCGAGGCATGTGGGATCTTAGCTCCTCCACCAGGGATGGAACCCACACCCCCTGCATTGGAAGAAGTCTTAAGCACTGGACCGCCCGGGAAGTCCCCATACCAAACTACTTTTAACATCAGCCAAGAATAATTTTAAATGCAAACCAGTTAGAAGGTTATGTGTGTTCCCAAACAAATACGGGTACATTTTAGATCATCCCGCAAGCATTCGCGCTTCAGACCAAACCCTCATCCTCCTCCTCCCTCCTCCTCCCTCATCTCTGTGACTGGCACCATCACCCACTCAGATGCTCATGCTGGAATCCAGGGTCTTATCTGAGGGCCCTTTCCCTTCCTCGCCCCTAGTATCTCACCATAACATCTCAGCAGTTCTGCTTCCTAAAATTCTTCATACAGCCAGTTTTTATTCCACCCCCCATCCTTACCATTTCTTCATTGTTTTCCCCATAGGTTTTGAAAACAGCCGTTTCACTGTTCTGTCTACCTCTGGCCTCAGCCACCTCAGTTATCTCCTCCACACCAACCTTCCTAAAACCATAAATCTGATCATACCTATCCTACCTGCTTAACATCCTTCAATAGCTACTCTCTACCACTGGGGGAAAACCCTCGTTCCTTAGCACAGTGCTCACACTCGGGGCTGTGCCTATGTCTCCAGTCTTACCTGCAGCCTCTTGACTCAGTGTATCTCTCTTCTCTGCCTTTGAGACTCAGGTGAGTCTCTAAAATAACACCATTTTTTCCAGGAAACCTTTCCTGACATACCAAGACTAGATTAAGCACCTCTCCTATCTATACACATAATACCCTATGCTAACCCACAGTATTATATTACATCCTCCTCCCTGTGTTCCAACTGTCCATCTGTCTGAGTTATTAGACTGCAAATTCCATGAGGGCAGGAACTATCTTTTTCACTTTTATATCCCAAGGGTCTGACAGAAGCGTCAGACTCCATAAACACTGGGGAGCTGTTAGGGAAGATCTCTCCTGACTCATTCAGTCTGGCTTAAGTACTCCCTCCATGAGCCCATAAAATCCTCTGCATACCTCTCTCTGTTAAAGCACTTAAAACGTTACACTGGAATTAGTACTAGATATGGACCACTTTGAGGATGGCAACATATTTGGAAACATATTTCATTTCTTTGTACTAACCACCCCCAACCAGCCATAACATCCCTGCAGAACTGAGTTCAGTGCCTAACACATAGGAGGAGCTCCAAAAGCGTTATATGATAAACAAGGCTCCTATCCAGAAAGCAAGACAATCAATGATAAAGGCTAGCTGCTTTCGCTACAAGAGGGGGAAAGATCCGCTGAGCGAAGAAAACCAGTTGGGCAGGAAGAACTCTGGTTTCCATCAATGGGTAAGTATCCACACCACCACAACTAGTAAACTTTCCCTAGCAAAAAGTAAACATAGAGGGTTCAATATTACAAATAAAATATAGACATTTTTAAAACCTAAGCTTTCTTGGCATCTCTATTACATTTTCATATGCAGTGTCTCATTTAACCTTATCAGCTTGAGCCAAAGAGGAGGAAGAATTTTTTCTGTGTTACAATAAAAATTTGAACTTGGAATGACTATTATATGAATAAGCCTAGAGAGAATGTGGAAATAAAGTCCATGTGATGGCCTTCACATTAATATTTTTGTTTACTAGAAATAAATTCCCATGTTTTTTTCATTTTAAATATTGCCAGAGAAGTATTCAAGCTTACAACTAGATTCGAAAAAAATAACACACCTAGAGAAGAAGACACAATCAACACGTCCCTAAAAGCAACACTGATGTAATGACAGTCTATTCCCGGGGAGTCCTAAGCCAGGGCTAACACTGACACCCTCCCCCACCACACTCTCCCCCTTGCAAAGGCTGCAGTCGAATGCATGGGTATTACCAATAAGCATACTAACTTAATTGCTTAATAAACTTGATGGCCATGCTGGCATCCTAATTAACTTAAGAAATATCTTCTCCCCCCATGTTAATTTTTCAAGCTTATGTTTTCCAATTTAAAAAATGTAAGCTTTATAATTTACGTGCTTATGGCACAGTAAAGATGTAACAAAAACATCCACAAAGAGGGCTCTAACACAATAGTATTCAGAGTACCTGCTCCTCTGCATCATTTGCAAAAAGTTATCTGGGGCTGAATTTAATCCCCCTTTACAATAGTGTGAACTCACTGGCAGTCAAATGAGAAAAATTCCTACAGCTCTCCAGGAACAGCTGGAGTTCTAGTTTAGGTAGAAGTGTTTAAATGGCAGAGCAAGATAAAAGGCACTCGTCAAAATTTTTAACTCCTGGAGTAAATCAAGAACCTCAACCTCTTGCTAGGATCCTCAAGCCCTTACCAAAAGTACACTGGTCCTCAGGTGAGATTCTGGAGATCTGAAAAGAAATCTTCCACATGTTTCTAGTAGGGTACATGCCATTTCAATATGGTGATGGGAAAAGTCTGATAGAAGCATCTGTAAAAATAATAATGATGAAAAACCACAAAGACAACATTTCAATCCTATTAGAGAAAGAAAACATTATACACCTAATGTGTGCAGCAAGTTTTAAAATGTCACTGTAAAAAGAAAAGCTAAACACAATATTGTAAATCAACTATAATTCAATTAAAAAAAAAAACCTAGTCTACTTTAGATGCCAAGCTTCATCACTGGGTATCTTTGTGTTAGGCCATAAAATTTTACATAAAAACTTCAGGATATTTAATGTCATTCCTTTTAGATAGATATATGAAAACTAATTTATCAAAGCCCATTTTATATTTATCAGGAGATGCTATGTATTTAAGCAAATGCCATATACATAGCTAATATTTTCTAAATAGCTTTTTGGTTTTGGTTTATATGACATTTATCTTTAAACTTCTGACAACAAAAGCCTTACTGTATGAAATTTACAAACACATTATCACATTTTACTATTTATCCCCCCAATATTTTTCTGTGCACATTTTCTAAGCCAAAAAAGATTTACACATATCATTTAATAATTTGGTTTTTTTTGGCTAACATGAGTATTTTTCCACGTCTTTATTATCCTTCTATGGCATGATTTAAAGGGTGCATAGTACTTATAATATGAACTATACTAAAACTTAACTGATTCTTATTTATGGGACATCCAAATTGTTTACAATTTTTTGCTACTATAAACAATGGTGTGACAAACTTTCTTGCAGATAAATTTGTGCATGTTTATGATTATTTCCTTAAAACAAATGTACAGAATTGAACCAGTGTCAAATAAATGTATATTCTTCCTATATACATCAGTAATTAATACAAAGAAATATACTAATATGTCTAAGTTGTTCATGGCTTGATTCCTTTCAATGACAGCGTTGAAAAAACTTTCACAACCTCTCTTAAAATGCTGTCCAAAGTTCCCCAAATGTACTGTGTAGTCTCCTGAGATGCTCCAAGTAGGTTTAGGAGACTTAACCCCTTGAATATTTACAATGATTATTAATATTTTAAATACTCTTAAGAAATCATGCAGTAAAGAAACTTGTTTAACTCAGGGTTTTCCAAATGTATTTGAACCCATGAGACCCATTTTGTGTGACATACCTAGTGATATCTCAAAGAAATCAACTTGATAAAAAATTTGTTATTGTTAGTAATGACCAATTCCAAATGTAGAAGAATTATTTCATCTATGCTGCATCAGCTTTACCACACATAACTAGTTAGTTACTAATGAATTTCTACCTTAATTCTATTATGGACAAAAAAACATAATCTGAATAATTTCAATTTTTCTGAACTTGTTGAGACTTTCTTTTTGGTTGATTTTGGTAAATCATCCATGTGCATTTGAAGAGATTATAAATTCAGATCCTGCTGGGTATAGTGTCAATTAGATTAAGGTTGTTCAATCCTGAATATACTTACTAATGTTGTCTGCCTATGCTTTCAGCTACTAAAAGGTGTTTTCAAGTCTCTCACTGTAATTGTGGATTTATTTCTCTTTCCTTGTCGATTTTTTGCTTTATGTATTCTAAAAATACAGTACTGAATGCATACTGATTCAGGAAGGTAAGACTCTTTCCTATTAAAAGGACCTCATCATCATTATGAACTATGCTTCTTTATTTCTAATAATGCTTCGTGCCTTAAAGCCCTACTTTGTCTGATAATAATAAAACCAGGTGCTTTTATTTATATATTTATTTTTAGCGCTTCCATGGTATATTTCCCCCATCTTTTTATTTTAGGCTTCCTGGTGTTAATATTTAAGGGTATCTTCCTTGCAGTCAGCATATGTTGTTGTTTTAATCAAGTTTTATATTCTTAAGGCTTTTACTTAATGTATTTTGTCCTTCTACATTTCATGTAATTACTGTTACAGTTGTATTTGTATCTACCATCTTATTATTTGTTCTCTATTTTGCTCATCTGTTTATTGTTCCTTTTTACTCCTCTTTTGTCTTCCTGTAGATTAATCAAATATTTCTTAATTACATCATTTCCCAGCACTTACAAACTGAAGCATTAAAACTTTAGATGTGTCTATTAAAAAATATTTCAAATGATTCACCACTAACCTTCAAACAATGCAGTGTATCATTTTTTGTGAACATCTTAAACTTAGTGAGTTCTCCAATAAAACGAACAGTTTTGTTCTTTGTTTCAATGTTGATCTGGTCCTTTTTTCGTACCTACAAATTAAGAGAAGAGACATTGCTTAAATAATTAACACTTTGAAATCGGTGATAAGAACTGTTATTTTAATAAGACTGAATTCACTCTAGATATTTTAAATAAATTTGGGTATAATTTCTTGCTATATTCAAATTATCTTAAGCAAAATAAACTCTGAGGAACACCAGTGCCAGGACATGCTTTGCAAAACTGTTTCAAATAATTTGGGGAAACAATGCATTTCATCAGCCTTAAGAGGTTCTTAAATAAAGAAACCCGTTTAACTTAATTCAATGTTTCTCAAATTTATTTGGCAACATAAAGCCCTCTTTTGAAATGGTAACAACGACTAGTGTGTTAAACTAATATTATAAGGAATACACTTTAGGAAATGCTGCTTTAAAAATAATAAACACCAAGAGCTCACTTAAGCAAAAATATTAAGGCTCAGTTAGTATAATTATGAACTATATACATTTTTTATTGTAAATTCATTAGTACAATGTAATTTCCAATACAATGACTATTTTTTACCAACAGTCACAGTCGTATATCAAAGTTCAAAACCTTTGCAAATATAAGCCCTCTACTTAGGCACACATTTCAAGCAATATTGAACATAACAAAATCCTATTACAACAGTACCATGTGAACAGACACGTCACGATAAATGTAATTGGATTTAACCTCAGAATTACAATTTCACCAGAAAACCAAACCTGTAGTCTAGAAGCCTCTTCTATGAACAATAACAATAATATGGTAGTGCTTTGAACTAGTTTAGTGTTCCTTATTTTTTCAGAATACTATCCTATCTTATTTGTTCCACATAACAACACTCTGAGAAAGGAGCAAAAGCTGTATAATTCTGATTTAATAGTTAAAACAACAATAGTAGAAGAACACAAAGCTGTCAAATGACCTGACCAAGGATCAGTACCAAAACCCCAGACTCTAAACTCATACTTGAGAATTCCACTGCTCTACCATGTGCTGGGATTCAAAATAAGTCCAAACCTCACCCGCATCTGGATAATTAGTAACAATCTTTTATGTAAGTATTAAACTTCTACATAGACAGCTTACACTTAATGGAATTTATCATCTTCCTTTTTAAGGACCTACTTCCTATAGCAAACAGAGGTAGGTGTTCACTTTTTAGATCTTCAGTGATAATTTCTGAACAAAACCATGTTTACTCACTTAAAAAAAATCAGAGGAAATTAGAAACTCACTATAACTATATTTAATCTAAAGCATCAATAAAACTGCAACTAAAAATAAAATCACAAAAACTCAACTTACAGAACTTTAATCACATCATTCAAGCATACAAAATAGCTTTGAGATTAGAGACAAATAGAAAAAAACTAAAACTAGATTCTAGTTTAATTAGTCTATTAAACAAACTAATATTGAATAAATTTGACTATTTATTCTAGCCTTGCAATTTAGCCTTCATAAAGGTGTTTTCACAAATGGGTGTTTGATAAGTACTGCATACTGAAAGCTCCTCTTGGGACTTCCCTGGTGGCGCAGTGGTTAAGAATCCGCCTGCTAGGGCTTCCCTGGTGGCGCAGTGGTTGAGAGTCCGCCTGCCAATGCAGGGGACACGGGTTCGTGCCACGGTCTGGGAAGATCCCACATACCGTGGAGCGGCTGGGCCCGTGAGCCATAGCTGCTGAGCCTACGCACCCGGAGCCTGTGCTCCGCAACGGGAGAGGCCGCAACAGTGAGAGGCCCGTGTACCGCCAAAAAAATAAAAGAAAAAAGAAAAAAGAATCCACCTGCCAATACAGGGGACATGGGTTCGAGCCCTGGTCAGTGAAGATCCCACATGCTGCGGAGCAACTAAGACCGTGTGCCACAACTACTGAAGCCCGCACGCCTAAAGCCCGTGCTCCACAATGAGAGAAGCCAACGCAATGAGAAGCCCACGCACCACAATGAAGAGTAGACCCCGCTTGCCGCAACTAGAGAAAGCCCGCGTGCAGCAATGAAGATCCAAGGCAGCCAAAAATAAATAAATAAATTTATATATTAAAAAAAAAAAGCTCCTCTTATTAATTTATCTTATTTTGTGAACTCTGAGGCAAGTTTAATCTACACTCTAGATTAAGAGGGTAGACTCTGGACCAGATCTGCTAGGTTTAATTCCCAGCTTTATCACTTACTGTTACTTAAACTCTGTGCCTCAATTTCCTCATCTGTAAAATGGAACTAATGAAAGTAACCTATGTCATACGGTTGTGAGTCTTAATTAAGTGAACTGATACATACAAAGCACAATCAATAGTGACTGGGACCACGAAGAGTTCACTAAGTATTAGCCATTATTAATATTATCCACATTTGTACACTGTATCGCTAATACACTGACACAAAATCAATATTCACTGAGTGAACAAATTAATGAAAATGCTTAATGTTTATATACATATTGCAGTGACGTGAAAGAGTAAAAGATCTACAGTCACAACACCTGAGGTCCTGTGGTCATTTCATGCCATTTGGGGTGGGGGTAGGGGTATATAATCTTGGACAATTCATATAAAACTCCCTGAACCTACTGGCTCACTTGGTAAAATAAGGATAAAAATAAGGATGATGATGGTGGGGCAGTAATGATGATAACTACACTTTACTTGATACTAAGCAATTAATGTCTAGGACAAAAGAGTATACAAACACTTCTGAGTGAGAAATAAAAGTGGGAAATTGTACATAAAATATAAAAGCATCCATAAAAAACTACAGAAGAAAAAAGTAAAGAAAATATACTAAAATATTAACAAGGTTTGCTTTAAGTGATGAAATTATGAGGTTCCCCCTCCTTTCTTTCTTCTTTATGTATGTTCTAAATCACCCACACTGAGCATGTGTTTCTTTTACAGTTAAAGAAATGTAGAAATAGAAAAAGGATAAAGAAGCATTTCAAAAATGATACCCTGAAGCTGAATCTTTAGAGGGAGTAGGGCTGGGAAATACATATACATGTTTTTAAAAGTCTCCCTGGGTGATTCTGGATGCACAAGCTCTTAACAACTGTGCTGTGGAGATCATACAATTTAAGTATTACTGAGCATCACAATTTACAAAAACACATAACATAGTGTATCATTCACAATTATTCCTAAATATTATTGAGGTTAAGGAGGTACAATCTAACTAACATGACAAGATTGTAGAATTTTTCAATGAAGTATTAGAAATCAATTATCTCACTCCCTCATTTTCAGATGAAAAAACTGAAGGCTTTTCAAAAGACTGTGACATAAAAAACAGACTAACTTATTCTGACTCCTCATTTAATATTTTCCAATCTCATTTGTTGACTCTTTATGATCAAATGGTATGTCAAACACTTCTGCAAAAGTAAATACAGATGAATTAACAATGTAAAATTTTCTATATATTTTTAGTTCAATAATGTCTCAGATTTTACTTAATCAAATTTAGCAAAAATGCAGCTTACAACTCATTTATTAATAACAGCTAGAATTGAGATTACTCAAATAACTAAATTCATATACATTAATAAAAACTCTTCAGATATGTCAAGATACAAAAGTAAGAATTTCCAAGGCCTCTCATTCATTATTCCCCTGGAGGAAGAACCCTTTGTCCCAAACTGGCCCCTCTATAACTTCACCCAAATATTATATTTTCTGTCCTCCATAATTTGCTCATTTTGTTTTACATAAACATTCAATCATTGAACTAATTTTTTTGAAAATCCACTATACTCTAAACACTAAGTAGGCACTGGGTTTATAAATAAGTAAATCTGCCTTCAAAGAAACTTATTTATTTTATTCTAGGGACTACTGATCTCCAAAGTAGGGAGGGAAAGACTCTTGATCTAGTGGGGTGTGGGGAAAAAGAAATGTTGAAACATCTATTTATGCTGTTTTTGATCTCATACTTTTAAAGTTATTTTTGTATGTTTTATGATATACATAAAATATCTGGTAGAATTACAAATGCATATAATTTATAAATAAATATGCTTATACTGGGATATGTGGTCAACTTATTTTACCAACAGAGAGGCTTGATCAAAAAAGTTAGAAGACCACTGATTTCAAAAATGTCAATCAGTGAGGGTGATATGGCTACATTTAAATAAAAGTTGTCTTCTCCATTATTAAAGAAGTAGGCTTTGCTAAAAATGTGGAGGACAGAAAACTAGAAAGGAAAAAAATTTCGCATAACCCCACTATCCAAAGACAGCCACTGGTAGCATACCGATATACAATTTTTTCTAGTCTTTACTTGACAAGAATTTTAACATAACTATAAATTTATTATGTGTAAGATTTTAGAGCTTGCTATTTTTCCCCTTAAATAAAAGCACTTTCGTAGAGAATGGACTTGAGGACACGGGGAGGGGGAAGGGTAAGCTGGGACGAAGTGAGAGAGTGGCATGGACATATATACACTACCAAATGTAAAACAGATAGCTAGTGGGAAGCAGCCACATAGCACAGGGAGATCAGCTCGGTGCTTTCTGACCACCTAGAGGGGTGGGATAGGAAGGATGTGGGGGAGACGCAAGAGGGAGGAGATATGGGGATATATGTGTATGTGTAGCTGATTCTCTTTGTTATAAAGCAGAAACTAACACACCATTGTAAAGCAATTATACTCCAATAAAAATGTTTAAAAAAAAGCACTTTATGATTTGAAAACTTTTTGGTAAATAAGACTTTCTAATGGTTCTATATCATTTCAGCATTGTGATTATATGACCATTTTCTTAATCCATTGTTGGACTTCTAGATTATTTTCCTTTTTTTCCCTATTACAATTCATGATGTGAATAAAGCTTTTGGGGGTACTTAGGATTGTTTACTTGGGACAGAGTCCCAGAATTGTCCACTGTATGAATGCCTCTAAGGATCTTGAAACATACTGCCAAATTCCTTCTCAAAATTCCAATCTCAAGTATATGTGATGGTTTCTCATTATTATTACATTCACTAACCTGTTAGTCAAATTAGCAAATCCGTTGCTTTAACTAGAATTTCTTTGACTACCAGGTGAGATTTCATACTGTTTTGCTAACCAGCGCTATTTCTCAGGTGAGGTTCTTAAGCACGTGACAAATAGGATCAATTGTGACAATATGTTGGAGCTGGATAGAAGCCAGAGATGGGAAACCTGGTGAAACAGCTATTCTCCTAATTCAAGCTACAGAGAGTGAAAGACAGCAGCACTGGGAATGAAGGAGAGACGCTAGCCTTGAGGAGGTGTTTTAGCAGATGTATCAATAGAATTTGACAAATTTGGCTCCTGAATGTCAGAGGGGTGAAAGTAGATGTATTTCCCTCAGTGATTAGAAAAAATATATTGCAAATTTACAGGGAGAATATAGAAGCCGGTATAAGAAAGTGAAGGATAAAGACATTTTTGAGAAGAAAATGAGTTTTATGGATGTATTTAGCTAAAAGTACATGAGAACTTATTAAGCACCAGGAGAGAGGTTCTGGCAAGAGATATGTACGTGAGGCTGCTGGGAAACAGATGCCACCTGAACCCCAGGTAAACTGTGTTCCATCATAAAGGAGGGTGAAGGAAGAAAGTCTGGGGAAGGAACACCAACATATAAACTCAGCTGGAAAACAGAGCGAAGGATATTGAGGAGAGTAGTCATAAGTGAGAAGCAGGAGAGAGTGGTGGTAGAGAAGAGGTAATTATTATTATAATGACATCTGTGTGATGAGCTTTATATGAATTATCTCGTTTAATCAGTAAGAACAATCCCATTTAAAAAGATACAAATTGGGACTTCCCTGGTGGCGCAGTGAAGAAGAAGAATCCGCCTGCTAATGCAGGGGACACGGGTTCGAGCCCTGGTCCAGGAAGATCCCACATGCCGCGGAGCAACTAAGCCCATGCGCCACAACTACTGAGCCTGCACTCTAGAACCTGCAAGCCACAATTACTGAGCCCGCGTGCCACAACTACTGAAGCCCTCGCGCCTAGAGCCCGTGCTCTGCAACAAGAGAAGCCACCGCAATGAGAAGCCCACGCACTGCAACGAAGAGTAGCCCCCACTTGCCATAACTAGAGAAAGCCCACGCGCAGCAACGAAGACCCAACGCAGCCAAAAATAAATAAATAAATAAATTTATTAAAATACAAATTATCCCACTTAACAAGCAAGGAAATCGAGGTATGGAGCACTTAAGTAACTTGGCCAAAGTTACAATGCTAGTATGTTGGTAGAGTCAGAATGAGTTTCCTAAAAGGCAGGAGAGTCCAGCAATTCAGAATCTGCAGGGACATCAACTAGGATGAGGCGATTAGGAGGACACTGGTGGTTTCTGCCAGGGCGCTATGATGGTAAAACAAAGGGTAAATGTCAGAAGTGCAAGAGAAACGTATACTCTACAACATCAAACAAGAAGGAAATGAAAGAGGATGGGGGGAGAGGTGCAGTTGAGGAAAGTTTTCCTGTTTTTATTTTAAGGATGGGAGAGTGTTGAGCACATTTTTTGCCTGATAAAAAGTCAATGGCAAAGTCTGCAGATTTGAGGGTGGGAAAGGCTAGACCCTGGAGGAAGCAGAGGTGATCGATGACATCAAGTGCCCTCTCTTCTTTCCCCCCTGAGAACAGCAGTTCCCAAATATACTCTGGAATCCTGATACTCTTCTAGTTGTAATGAAACCTTACAACAATAACAAAAATGCCAATTCCCTCAACTCTCACCCCAATTTTCAAAGATGGGATGGGAAGTACACATGAACAGAATTTTCTTAATTTTAGGTTTCTCACCAAAAGCACTAATTATGCTTGGTCCAGCAACTCATGTTTTGTTTGACTGTGGCTTTGGTGGAGGGGTGTACGCATGTAATTCATACAATGCAGTCATACTGCCTGCTAGTAAAACAGTGTCTTGTCTGTATCTGTATGATGGGATTAAAATACCAACAATATGACTTCAGATGCATCTGCCCCCAAACTAGCAGCATGTAAACAGTGTGTCTTTTGAGTGACTGTATATTCAGCCCCTTCCAGGAGGCTCACAGTGCTCATTACCCTATTAAAGCTTTGAGAATTCTTACCATAAAACAAAAGCAAAACAGTTTACCTTTCTGGATCTCAGTGTTTCCAAACTTCTCTAGACATAGAAACCTGTCCTTGATTAATATTATCTATGAAAGTCTGAAACACACTTCAGCAAAAAAGCTGGCCCAGAAAAATCTTACCCACAAATCTCATACTAACAAATTAATACCCATGGCAAGAAGCCTTTAGAGACCATTCCACCCCTCACATGGACTTTTGCTTCCTCTGGACTCAAGGCACTGACTCTCCAACAATTCATTTGGCAATTAAACATGCACTTCCTTATAATATCAAATTTATTTAGGGTTTAAATTTTTATTTCACTCTTGCTTTTATGAGTATTTAGGCCTTATCTTCCCAATTACATCATGAGATTCCTGACCTCGGGAATTACGTCTGTTCTGGTGCTCAGCCATATTACCGATTTGTGTATAGCTAGTGCAATGAAATGCATATTGAGCAGAGCAAACATTTATTTGCATTCCAAGCAACTTGCTATGTAAAGCTAAATTTTACAAACACAATTTTTCCATGGGCATACATGAACACTTGCATTTCATGTCTTTTCAAATTCTACCAATGTTCACTTTCAGTCACCGCTAAGGTATCCTTTTACTCCTTTCAAGCCTGTATCCACAAGATGGTGGGGTAACATGGGTTTGGGAGAACCACTCTTAGGCACTCTATTAAGAATCTTTCTTCAAGCTAAGGATTCTTAAGGCAAGAATCAATAAAAACATGGTCTATGACAGCATTCACTGAGATCAGAGCATTTACACAACTTCGTGTGCTCCAAACGTTGGACCCCCAACACCTGAACAGGCATCCTACAGGCATTGTGTGCCCTGACTTGTCATGGCCAATCCTATGTTTCTTCGGGGAACACCAATGAGGCCTGCTGGCTCTCTTGACCTTGGAGAATGTTTTTACTTTACAAAAGCAAGAAGTGCAGACCCTACAATGGGAAAACAAGGTAGCAGCAACAGCTCATCTCCAAATTGGAATAGCATTTATCAATTTCAAGTTTTGTTGAGTAGATTTACATTTAAAAAATTTAGAAGTCCATACATTCTGAACTGTTATACCACTATCAAGTTTGAAAATGTGCTTACCAATAAAATAATCATATTTTTAAACTAAAGAATCCTCACTCATAAGTGTGTGTGTGTGTGTATATATATATATATAACAAAATAAATGCTTAAATACATACATGAAATCTGAAATCCCCCCTCAGCATGGAACAAAGATCCTCTGCTACATCAGACATGCAGGGATGCAATGTAGCAACCAATCTTGCATAAAATGGTAGCAAATCCAACCTGCAAAAGTTACATGTGATATGTGTAAAAGGAAAGGCACACCAGAAATAACTCATTTTAAAATTTAAACTTTCTCAGATATAGTCATACATTAAATGATTATAAAAACTAATAATAATCATACAGACATGCCTATGTATTGCCATCATAATGAAGTATTTGGAAATTCAATTTGCCTTGTGAAAGTTTATTAATAATCTGGTATTTTCCATTCAGTACATTTACTGCACATCTGCAATTTTCATCGAGTAGTCAATTTTGATAAAATATGAAATACCAAGCAAAGAAAACATGGCTTAAAGTTTTAATCACATAATTACTGAGTAAATAAAGATAACAAACAGTATAAAACAATCCTTTTAAATAATTTCCTTCATTTATCCATGGATAAGTTATTTCAAAGCTTCAATGTAAAGAAAAGGGTAACCACTAACCAAAAGGGTATCTAAGAAGAGTCAAAAAAAAAAAAATAATCACAAAACCCACACACTAACTTATTCTACCCATTATAGAACCCACTCAGATTCTCCCACGGGGCTTCTCGATTCTTACTCAGGACAATAAACGCAAATCTGCATTTCTTCATGCTGCTGTCCCCTTTCATCATCAGAGCACTTTCTCATCAAATTTAGATGCAACTCCAGATTCCAGCACTCCAGGCAGCCACTACTAATCAGAATCAACACACAAGCTAAAAATTTATTTTCCATTCCTGCCACAGACATTATTTTATAAAACTTGATTATCCAATGATTCAACACTCAGCAGACCAGACTCTGAAGATGAGAAGCCGTGAGGAACTAATAAAAGCAGCTGCACTGACAGCAGCAAGTAATGGGAGCTGACAGGGAGGAAGGAAGCAAAAAACTAGAAAAATTCAAAGCAAGAGCTCAAAAACTACAACAACCCTCAGCCATTTAGAACAGACAAATAATTCTACAAGTCTTACATATCCCTGAATATATCACTATACTACAGAACATGAAAATGGTGTGGTCATCAGAAAAAACTCTGCCTACCATGAAAGGCTGGAAAATTCAGAAGGGACATAGTGAAGGAAGGAAGAATGGACAGAAATTTGAAAGGTGGAGTCAAGAAGAGAAAAGTGCTCAAATTCATGCCTAAGAGCCTCAAATATTTTGTATTCCTCTTTGACCATTACAATTTCCTTTAAAACTTATCACGTATTTTTCTTACCAAGGTGCCAGGCCCTGTCCTAGGCATCCAATCTCCATTATTTATCTTGTTGATACTGATAACCACCCCATCAGGTAGACATAATCATCACCATTTCAGAAATAAGACTACAGAGGTTGAGAGAAGTCAAGGATGTGGTGGCTCTGTAAAAGTACCTCAAAAAATTTTAAAAGCATTATACCCTTCTTTAAAGAAATGAGAAGTACAGTCCGTTATGTAGAGAGCTGAATCAAAACATTTAGTGCTAAGCCTTATTTTAAATGTTTCTTTAAATTATTTTAAAAGTTTTATCAATTGAAGGTTAAGTTCCTGTCACACAGAAAATGCACACATGTGGGTCACATTACTCCTTGTTGATGTTACAATAAAGAGGTATCCTGTAAGACACTCTCACAAATATGTAATAATTTTCTTAACGTCTGCTAGTGCGGGAAAAAAAAAAAAGCCTAGGGCAACTGCACACGTAACTTTCATGCATAATAGATGGATTCATACTAATACCAAATTTACTTTCTAAATTTTCAAACTTTAGTTAGATTATATTTTAATATATTATTATATTTTAGTTGGAACGTTAGCTTTTTCATATCCACTTTAGCAACAAATACGTTTCTTCTCAGTTCATGATCTATTACAAATATAGGACTGACTTTAAACCTATGCCCCAGGTCCTACCCCTCCCAACTGCCACAACTACAGGTCAGAAAAATAAGACTCAAGAGTTGAGGTCATGGGATAACAAAGAGTAATGCACTGGGAGTCAGGAGGCTCAGGCGCTGATTCTCTCAAACAGCACTTCTGTGACCTCATGAATTGACCTGACTTCATCTCCTACTATTCTGTCCAGTCTCACCGGACCCCCAGTAATCCTCAGAGCCTCAGCACTGGCTCTTCTCAGTAGCTGGAGTCCACTTTCCCCAAATATCTCCGCCACTTACTCCCTCACAAAGGTCAAGTCTTAGTTCCAATGACACCCCCTCCATGAGACCCATTCTGAATACACCACTGAAACTGCAAATCCATCCCACCCCCCCAGCCCCTTACCCTGCACTATTATTTTTTAAATAGTTTATCACCTTCTAATGTATATAATTTACTTACATGTTCATAGGTGCTTGATAGATATTTCTTACTGTCAGCTTTTATTCTAAACTATTCTTCATATTAATGAAGTATCATCCAATTTTTATAAGAATAATATTAAATTTGATCAAGTTTTATATTTTATCAAACAAGCACTAGTTTATCAAATATCTTTTTTTTAATTTATTTATTTATTTATTTATTTATTTATTTTTGGCCGAGTTGGGTCTTTGTTTCTGTGTGCGGGCTTCCCCTAGTTGCAGTGAGTGGGGGCTACTCTTTGTTGTGGTGCATGGGCCCTAGGCACGCAGGCTTCAGTAGTTGTGGCACGTGGGCTCAGTAGTTGTGGCTCGCGGGCTCTAGAGTGCAGGCTCAGTAGTTGTGGTACATGGCTTAGCTGCTGCTCAGCATGTGGGATCTTCCAGGACCAGGGCTCGAATCCGTATCCCCTGCATTGGCAGGCGGACTCTCAACCACTGCGCCACCAGGGAAGCCCTATCAAATATCTTTTATGCAGTCAATGGGATACTCATATAGTTTATTTTCCCTACTGCTGTTACACATATTAATAAGTTTCCTGGGCTTCCCTGGTGGCGCAGTGGTTGAGAGTCCGCCTGCCGATGCAGGGAACACGGGTTCGTGCCACGGTCCGGGAAATTCCCACATGCTGCAGAGCGGCTGGGCCCGTGAGCCATGGCCGCTGAGCCTGCGTGTCCGGAGCCTGTGCTCCGCAACGGGAGAGGCCACAACAGTGAGAGGCCCGCGTACCGCAAAAAAAATAAATTAAAAAAGCAGCTTTTCATTCCGAAGATCAATCCTCTTTGATCATGCTGGATGTTTGTTTTTAATATACTATTAAATATAATTTGTTAGTATTTTACTTAGAATTTTTATATCGGCATTAAAAAGTGAGACTGGACCACACTTTTAACATCCTCGCTCTTTTTTTTGTTAAGATTTTGCCTATTCATATTATGAAATGGGAAGTTCTCCTTCCTATGCTCTGGAAAAACGATACAGCAAAGAAATTACTCTGATAACTTTTTACATTTTCTTCCATAATCACTGGTCTATTTAATTTTGTCTTGATTGAATCAAGTTTGAAAATGTGTATTTTTTCCAAAAAATTACTTGTTTCACTGAGGTTTTCAAGTGGTTTTTTTAAACTTCTAGTATATCATCTGGCTTATTCTTAAATTTTTTAATGTTTTCTTTATATTTTCTAAATGGTTCTCTACCGGGATTTTTTTTTTAAGAATTAGCTTCTGAGTTTACAAAATTAATATTAATCTTGATTGTCTTTTTCAATGTATTTTTCAATAAAATTTGAGATTATACAGCTTCCCTGGTGGCGCACTGGTTGAGAGTCCGCCTGCCGATGCAGGGGACGCGGGTTTGTGCCCCGGTCCGGGAAGATCCACACGCCACGAAGTGGCTGGGCCCGTGAGCCATAGCCGCTGAGCCTGTGCGTCTGGAGCCTGCATGTCCGGAGCCTGTGCTCCACAGCGGAAGAGGCCACAGAAATGAGAGGCCCGCGTACCGCAAAAAAAAAAAAAAAAAAAAAAAATTTGAGATTATAACACGTAGAAGCAAAAAATTTTAACCAAACTATGTCATTTCATTTTTTCTTCTTTTCCTGGTCAAGTCACCTGTACTTCACTTCATTTTTTTTTATTCTTCCAATTGGCTCAATCTATTGATACTTCAAAGCTTTTCCCCAGCCCCAAAAGAAAGGTGGATAGAGCCACCCATTTTAAAGTAAAGCAGCCTGTGCTATCCATGCAGAGTAACATCAGTAAACTAAGAACACAGGTCAGCACTTTCAGCTTCAACAGGAATTTAAAAATTAGTTTAAGGATCCCCTAGAAGATCTTAACTCTTTTAATTAAGCCTTTCTAAGTAGTTAGTAATCCTAGTTTTTGTTTCAGAATTGGTCATATGGAAGTAAAGCCAGATATTCTGTTTTCCCAGAATCCTCTACTAATAAACTCACCAAATCCTTCTCAAACTAAGAAATTCCTAAAATTCCTTTTTCCACTACACTTTTTACAATTAAATGGATAGCTGATACTAAATGTCATCCTGCCCCACTTAAATCTTCCAAGTCCTGTGAATGTTCATTCCTTACTTCACAAAGTAAGATCCCCTATGATGCAAATAATACAAAAAGTTACATATTTTTTCAATGTTAATCCTATTTAAGTATGTTTTTCTGTCTTTTCCACCTTCCTACAAATGCATGCCCAAAGGGAATGGAGTGCTAAATGCTATATCAATCACATGAAAGTTATAAAACACTTTAATCAACATAAAAAGCAAATTTCTGTGTTAAATTTTAAGCTAGATATATATTTTATTTTATTTGACTTTTCTAAAAGTGAACTAGAAAATAAACTTAGACCCTTCCTTTGAAAACTGAATTTTATAATCTTCTGAGAGTGATAATTATTTTTACCAACAATTAATGAGTGAACCATTTAAAAAGAGTGTTTTTATCTTAAATAATAATAAAACCTTGCTTATACTTTCAAGGTCTCCTAAATCACACACTTAAGTATCCTTCAAGCAGTTAATGATCATCAACTAAGTAAACATCCAGTTACTAACTACAAGTAAGAACAGGAAAGCAGGATAACATACTTTTGTTCCTGAGGGGGGAAAAAAAGGAATCTTAAAGGCTTTTATTTTGTAATCAATCAGCTTTCAAAAAACAAAGTCCA